AGAGGCCTTAGATCATAAATGGTCGGCCTGGACGTGCCCATGGGTAAACCAAGGTACGTGAAAGGCATTGAGACAACAGAGCATCCTAACAAAGAGGCAATTCGGACTCCTTCCTCTACAGACAAGTTCATTGGGATCAGGAAGGATTTACTGAAGTTAACACGTAGGCCCGTGGACTCAACAAACTTCTGCAACATATCTTTGAGAGCAATTAATTGGCTATCAATAGCAGGCAGAACAATCAAAGTGTCATCCGCGTATTGTACAATTGGGTAATCATTCGATCTTGTTGGGATTGGCAAGGTGAGGATATTACGGCTGCACATGTCATTTACTACAAATTGTAGTAAATCCACTACAATAACAAACAGTAGAGGCGATAAAGGATCACCTTGACGAACTCCACTTTTACATTTAAAGTGCTGGCCATGGACACCATTAAGAAGAACCGATGAAGACCCAGAAGAAAGCAAGCTACTGACCCATCCATTCCAACGCTCATCAAAACCCTTACACTGAAGAATTCTGAGAATGGCTTCGTGTTCAATCGTATCAAAAGCTTTAGTGAAATCCAGTTTTAATAAAACAATGGGCCTCCTAGAAGCTTTGCATTGGTGTAAATATTCAAAACACCATGCAAGGCAATCTCGTATAGAACAACGCTTGAGGAAACCATATTAGTTACGGTGGATGCATTGGAGAATTACTTTCTGCAGCCGATTCGCCAGGAGCTTGGTTAAGAATTTTAAGCAAGTATTTGTTAGCGAAATTGGCCTAAAGTCACCAACAAACTCAGGGTTTAACTTCTTAGGGATGAGGGTAATCAGAGAGGTGTTAAGACACTCCAAATTGCACTTTCCTTCATAAAATTCAGTAACCAAACTCATAAAATCCTTCTTAAGAATACTCCAGCATCAATTCAGAAAGAGACCAGTGAACCCATCCGGCCCAGGGGCACGATCTGTGGGCATATGCTTAATGACATCATCCACCTCTTCCTCTGTGAAAGGCCTTGAAAGAGCCTCAAGCCCAACAACTCTAGACAGAAGCCTGTCAAGATCAAACTGCATGCGAATGCCCTTGGACTGCCCCATACGCAATCTGAAATTAGACCAGAACATGGAGGCAAGCTGTTGATGATCAATTACCACCTTGCCAGCAGTATTCTTAATGGAGGAGATAGTGTTCCTGCGATAACGTTCAATAGCCATGGCGTGGAAAAATTTGGTATTTTCCTCACCCACTTTGATTGATCTGATAGTACATCGCTGTTTCCAGTAAATGAATTGCAAGCGAAGGATTTCCTCAAGATGAATTTTGACAATCTTCCTAAAATTCATCTCCGGCCAAGTAAGTTGTCGAAGCTCTTCCAAACCATCAAAGAAAAGGATCAATTTGTTACAGTCTGCAATTAGGTTTTTAACTCTGGAAAGGCTGACATGCCACTTCTTAAGAGCATAGCGCAGAGCCTTAAACTTAGCCGAAATTATACCAGCAGCAGAAGACTTTCTAACAGGCATATTCCATACCTCAGCAACACATTCAGAAAATCCTGGCAGATGTACCCAATAATTTTCAAAACGGAAGATTTTGGCCTTCGGAATAGAGGTGGCAATAAAAACCATACAGGACAAGGGCCTCCAATAATAAAAGTAAGAAAATTAGACAAGTATCTATCTAAAGTAAGAATATTTTTTCTTTCAGAAAGAAGATAAGAACAAGAGGCTCACCACGGTGGTGCCGGCGATGAGATCGACGCAGGCGATCGACGGCGGTGAAGACGGGGGCGGGACGTGACGGACCGCTAAACCTATGCAAATCTCAGGGAAATGGAGCTTGGAGGTCGAGCTTTGAGAGGAGAAAGCTTAACTAGTGTGGCTCGGCCATTTCATCGAACACCTCATGTGTATAGGAGGTGAGCTAGAGCACCCAAATGCCCTCCCCTCGCCGGCCAGAAAAAACAGAGCACTGTGGAGTGCTCTGCTGCGGCGATGGGATATATATAGGCAGCTCATTTGTCCCGGTTTGTGGCTGGAACCGGGACTAAAGCTCCACCTTCTGTCCCGGTTCGAGCCATGAACCGGGACCAATGTATGTGGGCCAGGAGCGAGGCCCATTGGTCCTGGTTCGTGCCTAGAACCAGGACAAATGGGTCCAGACGAACCGAGACCAATGCCCACGAGGCCTCGGCTGGCTCCTTGGGCTCACGAACTGGGACGTTGCCCCCATGGGTCCCGGTTCGTGACTGAACCGGGACTAATGGGCTAGCCAGGCCCGAACCAAAGCCCTATTTTCTACTAGTGTTATGTTGTTACTAAGAGCTTGTACTGGATATTTCCGTTAAGAAATTAATGGAAAGAGGTGTGAGCCCGATTGGCAAAAAAGCTCTGCCACAGTTGTAATGAATTGTGCAAAGTTTGGTTTCACATCCCTTTGGGCTATATTCTGTATGTCATCTCACCAGATTTTATTTAATAAACAGTAAAGTTTCCACTATAAAAGAAAGTTGACGTGTATGCATTTTGCTACTACACTAAATGGAATGCACATA